CCTCCTCCTCCTCCTCCTCCTCCTCCTCCTCCTCCTCCTCCTCCACCTCCTCCTCCAATGTAACCTCTCTACAGGCATTTCCTTTTTCTACCCTCGCAACATAAGCCGAACTCATGAAATAATCCAAATTTTTCAAATTTTTCTTCCAAAAATTATGTCGACTCATCAAAAACAATAGGAGTATGATGAAAGATTTTGAAATTCATTTTCATTCCGATATTATTGAACATTATTTTGAAAATAAAAAAACGGCAGTGTCGATTCGACACCCAAAATAATATGATTTTTATTTTTCAACGTAAATAAATGTTTATTGAAATCAAGTGACTTTAAAAAGATAAAATAACACTGTTCTTGTCCACATTTCTCGCCACTTGACTCTTAGTGCTGTCGAATAGAAAAACTCCTTATTATCAGTTGATTGAACAGACAATTTCATACTTAATAATCAACATCGCTTTAAAATTGAATTTGTAAATTATTGAATACATTTTAATATGTACGACTTTCTTGAATACTTGATAAAACGTATTGTTTGGTCTTAAAGAGAATTGTTTCAAGAATAAAAAAACACACACACTTTTATGAATAATACTGAATGTTACGACTGGCAAAAAAATTCTACATTGCATTGAATTCCATCGGTTAAAAGATTTCGTTCGTATTTTCTGGGCATGAGAGTATTACAAAGATTTTTTATACGTTAAATATGGGAAAAAGTAATATCAAATTAGTGATGCACTTTTAATGCTAAAAAAACCTTCAACGCTCTGTTTAAGATGTTTTACAGGTGTTGTAGTCTAATGACCCCCTGACTTTTATTTTAAAATAGATCACTTGTGACACCTTGGTGTGTGACAATATACTCACTCAGTAGTTTTCGTAATGAAATCTGTTTTAATGATAAAAAGCCCTTCGGGCATTTATTTACTTTAAACTTACCGTAATAAAAACACATTTAACCAACGGGCTAATTAAACTGTAAAGCGATAATTCGATCCGGAATTCCAATTATTGATTACAGCCCGGTGAGTGTAATTGACTGACGTATTAAGAAGTTAGAATTTGAATTGATTTGCCCTTAAGCGTCTCCATCATGCGTTCAGCAATATGCATCAATATTAAACGCGAGGATGAAATGAAATTTGTATAAAATACTCCACAGATTGTTCGAATGCATGTTCGTTGCTGTGTATGATACAGCTCTTCTTCGTTGCTGCTTATATTGTAAAGAAGATGAATAAAAAGATATTCAGAAGAGCGTCAATAAGAGCGCACACGCTCTGTAAAGAGCGCCGCCGGTGTACTCGGGTATTTTTTAGATAAAAATTGGAAACAATTTTTGCACAGTAAATGTGTAATCATATGATATTCTTTTCTTGTGTTATCGCGTTACCTTGAAATATATGACTTGTTTAATGTTTATCCCATATTCAACCTGCAAATAGTGTTTGAAAATAAAATAAATTCACATTTTTTTTTCTCACAAATACTGAAAGTGTTTTCAGACGAATGAGTATTCGTTTAAATAAGTTCAAGTGTTCTGAAAATGTTGTTATTAGGAGATGAATTACAGAATAAATTCATTCGAAAAATGTGTAATTAAAAAATACTTTATGCATATCCAAACCTAGGTATTTCGTATGTTAATTTATTTGAAACGCATTGTGTACAAAACTTGTGTACATAAGTTGGCTTAGCATCCAATGAGCCTTAGTTATTTTCCAATTGCAGTAACATTCGCAGTAAAATGAAGGCATTTTTATCACTTGTGCTCAGGTAATTTCGAAATTTAAACTAAGATTTACGTGAAAATAATCCAGAATAGAGCCCGTCAGTATTCTCAATATACGGCAATTGATGTTTAAAAAAACTCGATTAACAATTTTTTTCTTCTTATTTTCTCTATATCAAGTTTATTATTGGTCAAGAGAGTATCGAATTCAGTAAAATAGTGAAAACACTGTGTGAAAAATCGGCGCAAAAAAACTTTGTAATATTGCGTCGGGAGTTGGAAGCGATGTTCATGATAACTGATTATAAAAATATTAATAAAGTAAAAGCTAAATTTGGTCCCACAGTCGATGGCTTTATGGACACAGCAAAAAGAGATCAAATTGTATTGGCAAAGATTCCAAAGGATATGAAAATTGTTGGCTTTAACACTCATGACTTTTTCGAAGAAGGGATCAATGCCATTATTGAAGGACAGACTGAAACGCTTAAACAATTGATCACAAATTACATTCGAGACAAACAATGACTATGTGGTAAACACGTACATGGGGTTACGATTCCTAGTTTTGACGCATCAGTTCTGCTACCAATCGAAGATGGTATTCCAGCTATCCGATCAGTCTATAAGACATTACATAGTCAATTCAAGGAACAAATGAAAATAGCAAATGAGTTGGGCAAAAATTTCGACAAAGATGTCAAAGCAGCTGTCGTGCGATTTAATAGCCTTTTAACGCTTATTGACTCGAAAAAGGTCGAAAAAAGTATTAAAGAACTTGAACCTATGTTAGTTAAAATATTTACACATTCCGCCGCAATATTTGCCAATCTGCAGAATATAAGTGATATTCTAGACGATTACAACAATCAACGGATCGAATGGGCAACGTTTCTACTTAGTAGCGGCGATAAACATGCACCAATAAGACCTCGGAAAAAACCAGTTGCAAAATCCCCAGTTGATGCCAAACGTCCACCGTGGAAACAACCCGGACAAAACTTACCACTGAAGCTATAAACAGTTTTTAGCAGAAAAAGACCATTCAGACATGATTGAAAGCTTCAATGTCGGCTCTTTGAAATAAACCAAAACCAAATACGACTTGTGAAGTCACAAAATTTTTATTGAAAAATGAATAAAATAAGCGAACAATTTTTGGAAAATGTTCGAAAAAATGAGTAAATGAGTGTTTTTTTATGAGTTTATTCTCAAGTAAACCTAAGAGCAAAGGTTTGAAAATCGCAATTTGTATTGTTGAATAATTCTTTACCGAAGTGAATCTCTTCTTGCGAGAATGTTTTACTTTTCCGCACACACATAGTGTGAAAGGGGAAAGTATTGCAATGGGTCAAAATTTACGACATCTCAAAAACATGTTTTCTGGACGTTTCTGAGGTCAGAGAACCCGAATCAGGCCGTTTTGAGCATGGTTGTTGTGGGTCTGTTCCACGTCGTACGTCGTACGTCGTACGTTGTCCGCCGTACGCAAAATTTGTCCATCGATTATCTCACCCCCCAGAAAAGTTTTTTGAAATCTGACTTCACGGGATGATTGGGGGTTCCGAGGAATAGAAATCATTAGATTTTGAGCGACTTTGGTCGATGGAAAAAAATTTCATGCCTGTAGTGATACCTATGAAAAAGAGTCCAATTTTCGTCCAAAAGTCATACTTAATGTAGACTAATGATTTAAACACTCAAAAATATGTATTGGGGGGTTTTTTGGCACGAGAAAACCGAATCCGATGTTTATTTTGAGATACAATTAAGTTTTAACAGAGTTTCTTTGAAAAAATCGCAAAAAATTTAATTTTTGTATGGGAGCCATGCTTTTACGCTACCTTAATGACGTAAAAATTTGCACAGACTATTTTTCACACAAAAAAATAACATTCTGAAAGTTTGAAGAGATTTCAATCAAAATTAGGGGTACCTCTCATACAAAATTTTCAATTTTTGGATCAAAAACGAATATTTTGTATGGGAGGTGCTCTTAATTTTGCTTAAAATTTCTCCAAACCCTCCGAATGTTATTTTTTTGTGAGAAAAATAGCCTGTGCAAAGTTTCACACCATTAAGGTAGCATACAGACATGACTCCCATATAAAAATCCAAATTTTTTGTGACTTTAGTTATGAAAAGTGTTTCAAAAATAATTTTCATGGCAAAATTAACGTCAGACATATTTTTTATAGTGTTTTGTTAGAAAATAGAATACTTTCAAATGTCGTACAAATGGGTTCATCATGAAAGTGTAAAAAATCTTTTCTCGAGTACTTCTGCTATTAAATTAAAGAATATTTCATTGCCAAAGTTGGAACATATTTTTTGGTCTCGGACGCTTGAAAGGCTTGAAAAATCGAACAAATATTATTTTGAACTTTCTTAATAAAATACACAACTACCACAGTGCGGAAAAGTTCGTCTTACTCCCGTAAGACTCTTTATTTTTTCCCTTTGAGTTTCAAACATTTACTTTTTTGTTTAAAAAAAACTTTCATGTTTGAATATCTTGTTAAAATAAAGATAAAAATTGAATAAAAATGAAAAAGAGTAAGAAAAATGTTCGTCGAATAGACTTGTTGAACAGGGTGCTTTCAACGATTTCTACATTTCTCGGCGGAAACGAAGAATCGGGCCGTTGGCTCCATCGCGCTCAATTGAAATTTGACCTTCGGAGGCAACATCTGAAATTAGACAATGAAATTGGCACTAAGACTCAAGACATTCAAATTAGACAAATGCAAGCGAATCGACTTGTCATCTGACATGAACGTGTGCTCATTAATGTTGACTTTCTCACCTGCCAATGCAGCCAATGCATGCATACGCTCCGGAACGTTTGCATAATGTTCGAGATAACTCTCGATTTCAACTACATTCTCATTAAAGATCATTTCATAAATGCGATCATAGAATGCCGACTGAAACAAAGCGATTTAAAAGTGGAATTAGGTCACACAACAAATCAAATTAAAAATCATGTTAATTGTAATCAAATTCAAGTCAAAATCAAACATTGTTTCTTTTCCACTCACCAAATCGGGTCGATTTCCAAGCCGTGGATGCAATGTGACTTCCTAAAAAGGGAGTAAATCAATTCAAAATTTAAATGAGCGAAACACTAGCGAACGAGGTTAAAACGTACATGTTCTGGAACGCGTTGGATCTGAATTTGTGGTGGGCGTGGGTTCTGAAATTGAATTTCAAAATGAAAATGGCTCAATCTTGACAGAGAAAGACTTGTATTGAATTACTCACGTTTTGCCGATTTCGTCCCAATTTACTAACAGCCTTTTTGATCGCACGACTGGCACTACCAGGATCCCGGCGTCGTGGTAGACCTGAAATGGGAGTAAATTGTTCCGATTTTTTTTAAACGATTCCAAGTAAAAAAATGATATTTTAAAAGAAGTAATATGGACCATGTTCGTCGAGACTGTCTTGTTCCGTTGGTTGGTTCTGATTTTCATGATCCGTTGGCTGAATCAGCTGAAATGATGTATTTTCAACAGCACCGCGAAGAGTTGAGGCTTGACCAGGAAGAGTTTGCGCTGGTGGCGCCAAAACTGAGCTTGCATTGTTACCATCATCAGGCGAAATGACATTAATGCCGGGAACATTACTGGTGTCAGCGTAATCGGGTGGTGGCACGACCATATCTTCCAGAATCACGGAGAGCTGTCCTGGTGCTATAGCGTCGGCATTTGGATCAGTGACATTGATGGCTGTACCTTGGCCACGGTCAGGTGTAGATGTTGCAATTGGTTGCTTTGGAACCACTGGCATCACCAGAGCTTGCGTTGCTTCTTCTATCAATTGGCGAAGCTTTTAAGGTAAAACAAAGCGAAAATCGAAAAAATTAATTGAAATTTTGAAAAATTCACCCAAAAATTGAAATTTTCACAGAAAATATATAAATTGCATGCCTTTGGCCTAAACTTGAGGAATGCCAGACTATTTTATACATATTTTCTCATTGAAGAAGATATTTTAAATCAATACTAGACGGAAAAATAATATAAATTACCTCTTCGGCCGGAAGTTCTTCAGTGCGAATGTTTGGATCTATGGTGCGAACATTTGTGCGACGTCGGGCTTGGAGGATCTATAAAAAATATACAACAAAAAATGTATGAACATTTCCGAAAAATCAATTTTAGAAACCACGAATCTCGTTAGATAAACAGAAGGTTATGAACCGATAAAATACCAAATAATTTTCTTACCGGTCGACTAATGACAAAACTTTGCTCCAGAGAATGATCCTCATCACCGAGACCATTGATCTGATCTTGCCGCGGTTCTCGATCAGTAACTGGACGATAACCAAAATCGGCGATCGCTGCACGATTGAGGGCGGACAGATTTTCAGGGCCAAAGCCACCATCATCAATAATATCATTGGCACGAGGCAAATCCACTACTTCATCAGCCACATCCGGAACGACATCCGGTGGGAGGTGTCTGTAACAAATATTCAAATCAAATCAATCAATACATGGGCCGGGGTTTTAAATGATTAAAACGACTTTGGTGCGGACTGGTCGAGTTGAATAATTGTAAATTGAACTTACACAGCTGCATCATTCGGTTCAATTGCCGTCGATGCCGATACGTTGTCAAGAACTGGTTGAACACCGCGCGAAAAATGTGAACCATGTTGTGATGCATTGGGGAGTGGCACACCAGGAGCTGAAGCATTCGAAGGTTGTGCAGTGGTCACATCTACGTTCGATTGCGTTTCTACATCTCGAATAGATTCAAGTATGTTGATATGTGGCATCGCATCATCATCAAGAAGGGGTTGAATTTGATTTACATTCGGTTCTTGTTGCGTACTGGTGCCTGGACGTGGATCATCTACGTTGCTCGATTGACGAGCTTGTACTGAACCGTCTCCACCAGGCTGTGATGAAGCTGAAATTTGACCATTGACTGTTCGATTACCCGGAGCACTCACATTCGGTGACGTGGCACTTGGTCGTTGTGGACCTGGTTGTTGACCATTATTTCCTTGTCGTGATGGAATTATTCCTGTTCGCCGCAATTGGCTTCGACCTCTATTCAAGAAAATGCATGTTCTCAATGACATTAAAGTAAAAAAAAAGACCGCAACTTACGCTTGCAACAATGTCGGAACAAATGCCTTCCAATGGTTTCGCATTGCGTTCCACTCAGCAGCACCATTCTCCATAACGATCAGTTTCGGCCAAGCTGTCATGTCGAGTTCGAATGGAAGATGGGCTGGGTTCTTGTTGCTATATCAATTTAATTTGTGATTAACGATTTTACAAAAGATTCGATTCGTAATTATACTCACTCGTACTTTCGGATGGGAAATTTTATGTAACCAGGGAACATGTAGTGTTCACCTTTCATGCGAGCCTCTCCAGCTCGATACAAATGACGTCCCACTTGTGCACCTGTCCAATTTGAGAAGTCCATGTGTACGACCTCATGCATCTTCCGAATTGTGGTCTGAAACTCCATACCCGCCGACATTCTGACAATTGGTCGATCCGAATGTGACAAAAACGTAAAAATTTTGATGGATTCAATGAAAATCAAATGATTTCTTTTGATAAAACTCTATGATTGAATGATCTCTTTATCACACCTAACAAATCAATTTGAGAAAAAAAAAAGAACAAAAATAGTCATGTCAGCTAAATTTTGGGAAGCATTTTTTGTGTATTTTCTGAATTTCAACACAAAACGAAGTTGAAGCACGAGAATAAACACTTGGTTTTATTTTTGCTTAGTTTGTTCGACACCGATGGCGCGAATTATCAACCTCAGCAATTTTTCTCAAGCAAAAGTCGCAAAATGTGCCATTTTTTTAAAATATGCTCGTGAACAGACACTTGAGAAGTTCTTCTTCTCATTGAGATGTATAACATAATCAATTCTGTGTTATGTTTGAACAAAGACCACATTCAGTGGCCAAAAATGAATTTGCTCTTTGTGCAGCGAACGAATATCTGCTTTGTCAGCCGAATGTTGGATTGTTTTTGGAAAAATACGCTGACGATTGAGCTTTTCTCACACCGATTCTCAGTAAATAATTTCGAGAAGGATTCTTTGCACCAAAAATGGTAATGGAATCGACAAAAAAGGACTAACACATGTTTTTTTCTAAAAATGTGTATTTTTCTATGGTAATTTGTAGAATTATGAGTCATTCAATGACACAATTTGTGACGATAAATTGTAATTATCTAAGAATTTTGATATGTGATCTGTCGTTAAACCTAAACTTTACAATGAAAATTCCCAAAAAACTTGAAAATGAAGGCAATTATTTGTAAAAACGCAATAAACTCACTTTTCTATTGAATAATGGCGAATTGAATAAAAAAAGACGAAATTGTTATGATTTTAAGCAAAATTCAAGCGAATGTATAACACGATATATGGAAAAAATGATTTATAAAATGTTAATCATTGCAAATCTCAGAAAATCACACTAAAATTTAATAAAAATGCCGGAAAATTCTCAATTTAAAAAAAAAACTCTTTGTGATTTGACTAGAAAAATGAACGAAATTGTGGTAATACTCACTGATACGCTGATTAAGCAAAAACAAGAAATGCTGCACGTAATAAAAGCAGTCTGTTCAAAACAACAGTCCAGATGGAAATGGTGTGTTTTAAATGCTCTTCTGCTTGGAATGCTTGCGGGTGCTTGTGTATTTCACACAAGCAGTTCAATACATACAACTTTTTTAACATTTGCACAAGAGACACATATACAAATGAATGACATCACATTCAGCTTATGTTTTACTCACATTCAATTTTGACACTTTGAAGTGGTGGCTGTTTCAACTTACTTCAAATTAATTGAAAAAAATAAACTTTCCCTAAAATAATAATTTCGTTTGAATTCCTATGAGCCACCGTGAATCCGAAGTTACATACTTGGAATAAGTGAATCAAAATCGAATTCGAAGTAACTAACTTCATTCTGATCTCACTTGTCACACAGCACACTGAGTAAGGAGAGCATTATATTGTTCAAATTTACTCATGTAAGTCATGTCGGGACTGTCATCGAATTTGAATCGTAAACAAGACGCTTGTCGGTGCTCTAAAATGTAACCAGATAATATATTGAACTAACTGGTCAGTTGAGCTGACAGTACGTTAGCCAGCTAAATGGGCTAAAACAATAGACGTTATTGTTTTAATGATGAATCACTTGACTTGTTTTAATAGAAGTGATTGTTCATTATAACAATAACTTCTATTGTTTTAGTCCATTTAACTGGCTAACGTGCTGTCAGCTCAACTGACCAGTTAGTTCAATGTATTGTCTGAATGTAACACGAGCTCAATCATCATTTAGACTTGATCATGAACCTGAAAATGTAACCAACACCATTCACTTAAGTGTTGTTGCTTATCTGACCAAAAATCGACGAGCGACAAAAAAATCGAAAATTACACATGAAAACTGTTCTCACAAGGGAATATTTATTGGAATAAAAATGAAAATTGGTGGTTAAAAGTTCAAAAAAATGTCTCTGAGACCGTTCGATTGAAAATCGCCATGGATTCAGCTGTTGAATGTGAAATGATAGCCGCTATCATACTGTTCACTGGAAATGCTTGTGTTGTATTCACGAACTGGTGAAAATGATGTTTCAGGTCGTCGTCCGTGAGATTGTCTGTGCCCGGTTCGACGTCGTTGTTGCTGTAGTTCGAGCTCTTTCCTTCTGCGTTGTTTTTCTTCTTCACGACGACTGAAATTGAAAATTGCAATTAAATTTCTCTTTCTCTACGCGCTTTATATTCAACTCACAGTTTAACAATGCGAATCAGGCGATGAAGATTCTTGAATTTATTAAGCCGTCGCGTTGCATGTCTAATGTCATACTGGACGATTGGCCGGATTTTCGTTTCATATCCCCATTTTGCGTAGTAATTTCGAATAATCTGGGCAAATCGATGAATCGCCATCCGATTTTGCTTTTGATGAAATTGGATGATAGAAAGCAATGGTAATTTCATTGTCTTCAACGATTCAAAATACCATCGATAGTGTTTTGGCATTTTGAACGAGATTTCCATTGTTTTACAATGTTGTTTGCACGCAGTACATGTTTGGACCCGATTTTTGGATCGACAATCGCCGCACAACACATGATAACAACTTGTCAAGTACTGCTTTGGAGCCCATGGAGTTCGGCCACGTACTATATCAACTGATGGCAATTCAAACAGTTTTAATGGATCTAGACAGTGGTTGCAATAGAATTTACGAACACCCGATCCGATTAGCGCACACATTTCAGGTTATCTAGAGTTTTTTGGGGGAAAATAGAATATCTTGTAAAAATTATCGCTGTGAATATCGTTTTTTTGATGATTACGCACTGTTTTTTTAAGATTGAGAATTTCGTTGGTGACCCTGATTGATTTAAACTTAATTTCGCAGGTAAATTGAGTGAAAGTCAGACTTTTTATTGTAAATAACAATAGAAACTGGTGACAATGTCGTGAATGACAATGCTCGGTTCACTAATGAAACTTGTGTTTCGTGCTTTTTTCACGCTTTGTTATTATTGGCGCTGGCAACAACAAACTTACTTGACAGTTCGTTATCTCAAGGAATGTGAGAAAATGACGGAATAAGAGAAGGAAAGAAGAAGGAAAAGAGAAGGAAAGGAGAAGGAAAGAGTAGAAAGAAGAAAAGGCTAATTGTATTGTTTCATTGTATTGAGATGAAAATCGTTGCACTCCATTCCTTTCACACACATACAAACCATCACAATACAGGTATGAAAGTAAATAATGCCAATGGAGTCGGACCTCTCGCACCTAAAAGGATTATTTTTATTCCAATGAATTTCACTCTAATTGAACACCTGTTTTATATTTGTATTTAACAGGTTCGACAATTAAAACATGCCCTATTGTAGACTGTATCGAAACGATCTTTGACACTTTCTATTCCTTTCTCTTTGGTTTCACTAAAATATGAAAGAAACAATATTTCTAAACCATACTAATTCCATTCTTTCTAAAAAAAAATACAACAGTGTGACAATATGTGTCGAGAATCCGGACATGTTTGTACACGACAAGTGCTTTTATGATCTACTGTTTCGATGTCATCGATGTTTCGATGAACGAAAGATCAGAGAGTACAATTTTGATCCACAATAAAGTCTCGCCTTTTGAATTCTTAATCGGTGAATGGCTGAATCTTTGAATAGTTTTCATGCGAAATTGGGATTCGATACGTGTTTACTATTTTCTTTTGTTCTGCTTTTATTTCTTTCTCATACGTATTTACATGAAGATGTGAGTCGTGTTTTCTCTTTCTTTAGATCAACATTTTTCGCTCTTTATCTTTGCAAAAAAATTCCACTGAAGGTGTTGGAATGGCGTGTTTTTCCGTTAATCAGTTAAATTTTTTCAATTTTAGAATTGAAGATGACCTTTTCACACTATACTGACCGTGGCCATTTTCATCTTTCTGGTGGATACATCGATTTGTAGCTCATTGAGCTTAAATTAATTACAACGTGATGTTCGTCGTATGATCATTTGCTACCAAATATTTGAAGAGGTCAACTGAATGAACAAAACAATTGAACGCACAGACGGCAATAAAAAATATTCTCCACTTCTATCACATAGAAACACAATGAATACAATGACCATCAGGTAGAAAATAATTTGCATAAAGTGTATTTATGATGAGGTCATTACATCCCGAATATGAGCGAAGTTCAACTAATGATTTTGAATTTGACATTTCTGCCGGTAACACTAAATCTTTAATGACTTTTTCGCTTATAAACTATCGTGTGTTTTCATTTGAATCTCACATTCGGTTAACTGCTCTCATCGACAACACGGTCAGTCGGTCAATCAGCAAGCAAATATTTTCAATCCTCAAGTGAAGTTGAATTATTTCCTCGAAGCAAAAATTGAGTTGGTTCAATTTGGAAAACGATCGAAAAAATTCAAAAGTTCTATCACATAAAAAAACCATTTGGGTGTAAAGCTGCTTCCTTTTTAAATATATTGATTCATCTATCTGAAGAAAGATTCATTTTCTTCGTCAAAAAACGTCAAATTTTATAACGATACTTCAAAATGAGTAATTCTGCGGGAAATTTTAATCAATGGCGTCGACCGACAACGGATCCGTCAAAACAGTGGATCTATAATATTGGTCCCGGTTCAACAAATCGACGAAATCGTCGCGTTGCTCAACAAATTGAGAGACCGATGAATAAATACAAGCCATCAGAACAGTTCAACGTAAATGTTGCAGCTTCAACCAGTCACCCGATCGACACAGCTGTAGATGACATCATTGCAAAAACCATAGAATGCCGCATTTCAATTGACCATAAAAAATCATCACAGAATATGTATAGTTCAAAAAGTGATAACGGCACTGCAACGCACATCCAACGGACGAAGACAACGGCTGAAGAAAAAGGGAAAGAAGAATTCTATCATCCAATATACATGTGTGAGGAAGATCTGAATAATTTCGTCAAAAGTGGACACATCACGATTTATCAGGGAAAATTGCATTTTAATAGAAAACCAACGAAACATTGAACATATTAAGTCTTAAAATCAATAAAATTATATTTAAATATCTCACAATAAAGTTTAATTTGAATGAAACTGAACAACCGAAAAATGTCATTTGCAATTGAGAAAAATAAAGATTTCATCGGAAAAATCCAAATTTATAATTTTCTTCATTGATTTCTTTGATTTATAGACAGATTTTTTCTTATTTGATATTTAAAAAGCGGGAAATGTGAAGTTTTCCTTTGGGTTAGTGGAACTTGTGGAAATTCAACTCCATCAATATTTTAGCGACATCTACAATTCAACATCAATTGAAATGAGATCAATACGCGTTAAAAAGAAAGAGATGCCACCAATATGCTGATATAAAACACACCGTTGTTGACTATCACTGTCTAGCTCAAGCAATGCTGTGTACAACTACAACCAAATTATCTCCATGAAAACGAGGCGACGTTCTTTTACTTGCGAACATTCAAAGGAGAAACACGTCACACACGTTTGCTCATTTATTTTTGCGACGCACTTTTTTATTTTGCAAAAAATTTCAAATAAATTATAGTTTTTCATAGATTTGTATTCATTTTTCCGGCAAGAAATTACAACATTTACTGAAAGATTTTTGGAGATTGGTATTATTACAATAAACTTGTTGGAACAACGTGAATTTTGATCAGTCATCGGTAAGTACCGCATGGTCTGGTTTATTATTACAATTACAAAAAAAAAACTAAAAACTTACTGACAACAAATGATCCTAGGGGGGAGACACCCGTGAATCCATTCACCTTTTGTGTCGGATTTGTACGATTAGTATGATTACAACATTTTACAAAGATTCACATTCGATTCAATTTTTGATTTAAATTGCTATACGTAGGCGACTATTTAAGTTTCTTCAATATGTATGTTTTAGTATTGCCCGATGCAAACCATTGTCATATTCGTTAAGTTTAACATTTTGTAGCATAAACGTTCTCAGAACGTTTTGTCATTCGATCGTTATTTGTATTGTTTACCGTAACATGTAAATTGCGTCTCAGCCAAAAAATGAATTTTACTCGTGAAAATTTTCGAGCGATTATTTTTTTCCACTTTCGATTGGGTGTATCACAACAACAGTGTTTTGATCAACTTCATTTGGCCTTTGGCGATGAAGTACCAAGTCTTCGGACAATTTATAATTGGTACAACGAATTCAAGCGCCTATCGCTCATCGACGAGTTCCGCGAAGGTCGTCCAAAATCAGTTGTTGTACCAGAAAACATCGATGCTGTCAGAAATATGATAATGGAAGATCGTCATGTAACATATCACGAGATTGAGGCATCCCTGGGCATTAGTGCGACCAGCGTATTTAAGATTTTATATGAACATTTAGCTGTCAGAAAGATTTGCTCTCGTTGGATACCACATAATTTGACAATCGCTCAAAAAAAGGCTCGTGTCGATTGGTGTAAACAAATGCTCAAGAAATTCAATCGTGGTGTTTCAAAATCCGTGTATTTTATCGTCACTGGTGGCGAATCATGGATCTACGCGTATGAGCCCGAAACTAAACAGCAGTCGACTGTATGGGTCTTTCAAAGTGAAGATAACCCAACAAAAGTTGTTCGAGCTCGAAGTGTTGCGAAGCAAATGGTCGCCTGTTTTTTCGCGATAAGTGGTCATGTGGCAACAGTTCCACTAGAGGCTCGTAAGACCGTCAATTCTGATTGGTACACCACCATTTGTTTGCCCGAAGTGTTTGGTGAAATAAGAAAAAACAACCGCCGTCGCAAAATAATTCTTCATCATGATAATGCGAGCTCTCACACATCTCATCAAACAGTCGATTATTTGACCGGTCAAAAGATCGATTTAATGGGTCATCCGCCGTACAGTCCTGATTTGGCACCCAACGATTTCTTTTTATTCCCGAGCGTGAAGAATAAACTGCGTGGTCAACGATTTTCATCGCCCGAAGAAGCAGTTGATGCGTTCAAAACACACGTTTTGGAGATATCACTTTCGGAGTGGCATGAATGCTATGACAAATGGTTCGAGCGAATGCAAAAGTGTATTGATCATCATGGCGAATATTTTGAAAAACAATAAAACCATTTTCGATGAAGCCCCATTGTCTTATATATGTTTTTGAAAAAACTTAAATAGTGACCCTCGTAATTCCAATGATTTGCACAGATTCACAGATTCGTAAAGATCCACAGATTCATTAAATATTCACATTTTTGTGTTTTTTCTTTTGACGTACAAACGTATGTTGATTTTATAGAAAATAAATATGCTAGCAAATATAAATTAAAATAAAATTCAATTATTTTTGTTTATGCAATGATTTCATTTTTACCGACTTTTAACAATGGAATAAAATTTAACTCAACAATCAACACATTTTATATTATTCTTTGGATTCTTCGGATTTGTGAGTTTTGTGTTTTTTATTATAATTCTAATGGAATCGTTGGAATCAATGAAATTATACAATTGAGTATTTTAACATAGATTTTTCATTTTGAATTGGTGTCTACCCCCTAAATGATCACTTATCTAAATTAAAATGGATGAACGATTAATAGTCAGCTGGAATAAAATGGTTTTGGATTGAAAAAACTGTCCATATAATCTATATTTCTGTGAAAAAATTTCAATTTCTTGTTCTATTCTTGGATTATTGGATTAAAATCTTATTATTGTTCTATTCTACTTTAATACCAGTGCTATTCTCTGCAGAGCCAATAAAAGTCAATTGTCATGGATCGTCTACAAAAAAAGCAAAAGTTATCCCACCCAGTCGGTCGAAATTGTAGTGAAGATGAAGACGCTGGTCCGTCAAATGTGGAATTATCACCAAAAATATTCAAGTTGAACATCGATTGTATGGACGAAATATTTGAATATTTGTCGCTGAAAGATTTGCATTCATTGGGACAAACATGCAAGCGGATGAACAAAGTGGCCGGAGAATATTTCAAACGAAATTATTCATCGATTCAAACATGGTGCGAAATTGGCGGAATTTACACGTATTATTCGGACAAAGATGGATACAACCCCAAACGGATTAAAATATCGGGCTTTAGTGAATTCACACAAAACATTGCAATTGACGATGACAGTTATACTCAATCTCATGTCAGTGAATTTGAGTCAGTTAAACGCATTTGTTTCGAATATTTAGTGTATGACAACGAAACAATTAAGTTTTTCAAACAATTGCTGGGCCAACTAGAAATGGTGCAACTCTTCCATTGTTCGATTAAAGGTGACCTTTACCATTTGATGTTGCAACACTGTGGAAACCTTAAGAAGCTTTGTGTTCGAGAGTGTAAGTTCAATGGCCGTTCGATCGATAAATACAAGTGGCTGTTGCATACATATCCCAAGCTTGAGCAATTGCATCTTTCCGCTTATGAAGGAATTGGTAAAATTGAAGAACTATCGACATTTTTTGAGCGTAATCCAAATGTCCATCGATTTTCAACTGACTTTGATTTGATTTGGGACAATCGTGACGTATTTTCAAATTCCAAAATTAAGTTGGATATATTGGAGCTCGGCGGCTCACGTAGTCTACTTCGGACAAATCTGCAAGAGTATCTGAAGCTATTAAACGGACTTCATGACCAAGGCTTTTATAAACGAATCTACATTGACATTGGTGAACTAGACATGGATTTAAGTACGTTTTTGGTTTCACTCAAAGGGATGGAGTCACTATGCATTGCAGTGTTTGACAACATCTATAATTTACCTCGGTTGACCAATCTGACGGAGCTATCGATCTATTTACAGTATGGATTGAATGTCGCTGATATGGAACTGTTGGCAAACGGTCTTGTGAAACTTCAACTTCTTCACTATAGAGAATGTAAAAACGTCGATTTCATTTTACCATTCGTTCGTCGCTCGATGATGTTGAAGGAAATTAGAGTGGATTTAAGGAACGGTGGAGCTTTGAATTTGAAAATGTTGAATGAAGAACGCACCAAGTTGGCCGGAGCACGAAAAGTAATGATTTATGCAACTGACAATATTTTCTTGCCCACCAAATGGACGACCAAAAACAACGACACCAATTTGAGCTTAATCGAGATTCGACGTTTGGCCCCGTACGAATGGCCTGACTATTGATCTAAACAACAATTTTTTGAATTCTCTACGTAATATTTGAGCTAAATTTCAAATCTATTCCCAATACTTCACAAATGAGCTAGAAAACACTCGAATCTCTTAAAATACCATAAAATTAAGCCATAGTTGTAATAAAAAAACTAGATTATTTGATAGAATCATAATTAATGTTAGTTATGAAAAACGGATAAAGAAACATTTCCATATTTCTTAGAAAATTCTTCAATAAAGTGAACTCAAATCAACCAAAAGTCTTTATAGTATATGTTTTACTTTTCCGCACACACACTATTTCATTTATTGCAATAAGTACAAAATACTTCTTTCAAAGTTCTCACTGTAACGCAGTACTGTAAATCTGGATAAAATGTCTTACATCCGAAAGATGAACTTTTCCGCACTGTGATCCACAACATGCATTTATTACAAATCTTTTACTCAAAGAATTCACGAGAAAACTGAATCTGACATTAGTTTCACGATACAAATGATTTTCGACACACTTTTCATACAAAAATGACTAAAAATGGGAATTTTTGTATGTAATCAATGCCTATATGATATCGTAATCATGTGAAAATTTGCAGAGGTTATTTTTTTCACAAAAAGTTAACATTCTGAAAGTTTGAAGAAATTTCAATGCATATTAACCCTGTACGCTGGACGCAAAAATCTGTTAACACGATAACTTTCAAACAAGAAAAGAAATTCAAAGTCTGACTTCACAAGATGATTGGGGGTGCCGAGGAATAGAAACCATTAGATTTTGAGCGACTTTGGTTGATAGAGTGAAGTGTCATGTCTGGTGTGATGCCCATGGGCATCCATGGGAAAAATTCAATTTTTCTTCCAAAAGTGATATTTAATGTATACTTAAACACTCAAAAATGTGTATTGGGGGGTTTTTTGGTACGAGAAAACCGAATATGACGTCACACTTTTCATACAAAAATTTCAAAAAAAAAAAAA